TTCTTATTATTATATTTTACAATTACAGAAATGGAGGCTCAGAACTGGCTGGGGCTATGTAGATAAATCCTGAGAGACTGGGACTTGGATTCACGGATTCTGATCCCAGGATCAGCTGGGCATAGACCCCCACTCATTCCTAGCCTCTTGAGTGAGGCTATTTCACACTGTGATACAGATGAAGAAACAGACCCAGAGACACCCAGTGCCTTCCAGGACACCTGATCTCCAACCCTTAAATGGGCCTGAATTCTTTCCCTTGCCTCTGGCTCCCTGCCCCAAAGTTTTGACCATTTTTTAGAATAAAGGAAGTCTTCAAAAAGCTTGTGAAAATGCATACTATGCATTTGTTTCAAACCTTTTTTTGCACAAAAAAATCAACGGATCTTTCATTCCATTTTTCTGCAGACCTGCGGAAGTACCCTCTCATTTCCAAACAGCAGCCTATGAACTTCTTCCAGCCTTGTTGAGAATGTCCTTCCAAAATTCAAAGTCACCCTGGCACTCCAGCAAGGCATCACGAGGTCAAGGTAACTACAACCCCTGGATTTCAAAATGCCTTTCGGTAAAGCTTCTGCCCTGACTACAGAATAGCTGGGCTGGGAGATGTGAACCAGAGTGGCCATGCAGTGCATACATGGGATCATCTCTGGGAACCACAGGTTACAGCAGTGAGGATGAGTAAGTGTGCTGGCCTCTCAAAGTGATGTTCTGCTCATTGGTTCTTCACGGAACCCCATTTCTGGGGAAAATGACTATATTTTCCGCAGAGGGACATGTGCGTCCTATTGGGCTAGGAATATGGGGGGTGCTGGTGCATATCCTTTAAGCCAAATATTCAGAGTCACATTCACGCAGATAGGCCAGGTTCATCCTTGGCCATCAGGGATTTCCACAGTTCAACAGATGAATCAGATCTGCTGACCGTTGTCTGCCACTTCCTTCCCTTAACACAGCGAGGATCCATCCCAAAGCAAACCCTTGCCAACACCGCTTCCATCCCGTGTCTCAACCCCTCCCTTCCTTTTGCCTCTCAGTGCAGATGGAGACTGGAGGGTCCCCGGCTCATCCCAACAGCCCTGAGGACTCGCTCGAGGACAGAGAAAGCCACCCCCAGCCCGCTTCCCTGAGGACAAGCATCCTGGTCCCTTCTCCCTGGCTTTCCTCTCCTGCTCCCCCGCTCTCTGAGGCTGCCGGGCTGTGAGCAGCCGAGGCGGGACCTGATAAGTGCTGATCGGCCCGGGGAGATGCCCGAGTCCCTCCCGCTGCACTGAGCGCTCACCACTTCCTGAGGCCAACGGTACAGCCGTCCATGTCGCAACTCTGAAGACTGACATAAGGGAGTTCAAAGTCCACCAGCTTTTTCACCACTGGAGAAAGAGCAGAGGCAGTCTCATTGGTCGAAACAGCTCAAGTAGTTGACACATAGAGGCTTTCGAGTGAGAAAATAAAGCCTGATTACTGGAAAAGAAAATCACAGTTAATGCTCTCTTGCATTTTGTATGACTTTGAAAAGTTCATTCAGCAAACAAATATACTCGCCCCTCGGTCTTCACAGGGAACTGATTCTAGGGTCCCCTGCAGACAGCCAGCCTGGGAGACGCTCAAGTCCCTCATATGAAATGCTGTAGTGTTTGCATATAACCTTCCCACAGCCTCCATCCCATCATCTCTATCTACTCTTATCCTACTTAATAAAACGTGAATGCCACATAAATAGCTATGATATGGTATTGCTTAGGGAATACGGACAATGAAAAAGTCTGTGCATGGTCAGTACAGACGAAATTTTTTTGAATACTTTTGACCGACGCTGGCTGACTCTGTAGACGAGAAATCCACAGACACAGGGGGAAAACTGTTATTTGATCCTCATTAAATCCTAGCCCCTTGCGTAGGGCTACATCACACTGTGATGCAGATGAAGAAATAGGATCAGAGGTGCCCAAGGGCTTAGCCAGCACAACTCCTGGCTCAAAGTCACCTCCCCACAGTTTCTTCAGGACATACAAGTCGACTTCAAAAAGTTTAAGGAAAAATGGAATTAAAATATAAACTTGTTTTGGTACAAAAAATTGTTGATATTCATGCATACATGCTGTCAACTCCTTTAGGATAACTGATACCATTTTACAACTTAAAAAACTTGGAATTGGGACTGTGGTGTAGCAGGTAAAGCCCCCACCTGCAGTGCCAGCATCTCATATGGAAGCCAGTTCGAGTCCCAGCTGCTCCACTTCCAACCCAGCTCTCTGTTATGGCCTGGGAAAGCCATGGAAGATGGCCCAAGTCCTTGGGCCCCTGCACCCATGTGGGAGACTTGGAAGAAGCTCCTGGCTCCTGGCTTCAGATTGGTATAGCTCCAGCTGTGGTAGCCAATTAGGGAGTGAAGACCTCTCTCTGTGCCTCTCTTTCTCTATGTGTGTAACTCTGATTTTCAAATAAATAAATAAATTTTTAAAAAATGATAACAAAAACAAAAACTTGGTATTATCTAGAATACACTAGAGAAATATCTAGAGAAAAGCCAAAGTGTGGAGCTGGATTGTCATCGATCACTCATTACCCCTTTATTTCTTCAAAGAATCTGAGAACGTCTTCACGTCATGCACATTCCACAGGTGTCTCCCAACAAGGAGACACTGTGCTGCCATGTGATGCCCCAATGCCGGGACACTGGCACTCCAGTCATGGGGGCTGCTGCGTGCGGCCCGGGGACAGCGGTCAGGCCCAGGGGCCAAGGGGAAAGGCAGCATAGTCAGGACAGTGAAAGAGGAAGTGCATTTGCTGGACAGACCTGGGTCTACCTCTGACCTTGCTACCCCCACAGCTGCCACCCCAGCTCACTCTGAGCAAGGATGCCTTCTCCCACTCCCCAGGCCCCTGCCCCAGGGTGGAGAACACAAGTTAGGACCTCCCCCTGGCTGGGGGTGTGGCCAGCCTCTCACCCGCCCACCCCGTGACCTGGCTGCCCTCATTCCTTCTTACCAGAGAGTTTTCCCTCTTCGCAAAACTGAATGAGGAAGAGGCCGAAGTAGCCCAAGAGCTCCCGGCACAGCCCGATTCTCTGCGACACGACCTTGAACCAAAGACAAGCAAGGAGGGGAGGGGTGGTGTTAGGAGTACGCGCCCGCTTCCTCACTGTGACACGCGGCATCGGATCTACCCATGCACATCCACGTTTTGTGGCCTCGTGGGCACTCAAAGGAATCATGTTGGGATCTAAAAATGGCATATAGTCACCTTAGAAAACCTGGAGCTATACGGACTACGAGTGAAGCCCATAAAAGCCAGCCCCTCCCAGTGAACAGAGACGGGTCTCAGCTGAGGACACTTCTCCCGTATCATTCTGGTAACATCCCCCAGAGGGGAACAGCTGTTCCCTGAGAACGTGTGGCATCGCCCCTGGAAGTGCGCCCCAGTGTGCCTTCCTGTGGACTGGATGTCCACGCGTGCAGGACAGGACCCAACCCCACTGCCTGGCTGGCAAACCCTCATGGACATGCTACCATCTGCCATTGACACCCAGGCCTGCCTCTCTTTGACGCTTCCTGTGCTGCTCGGGTGCAATTGACTAGCGTGTGCTCAGTGGACACCCGGGATCCAGGCCCAGGCAGCCCTCAGCTCACATCCGTCTTCCACCTTTACAGTTAAAGCTTTTGTTTCCGCACCAGTGGATCCTTGTTTACAATTGGGCCATCAGGTCCTACGTGCACTCCCCTCCTTGAGCAGGAACCTCCACCCCACCACAGGCTGGCTCGGCTCTCCCCAGCCTGGCCCCCTCCCAGCCCAGCTCACTAAATTGTCTCTGTAATGCCCAGCACCTGCCCTCACAGCACCTGGTCTCCAAGTGGCAGATGCGCCAAGAGCAGCTGCAAAGAGGGTGCTTTCCTTGCAGGGGTCTGATGGTACCTTGTAAGACGGCCTGCTTAGGTGGCCGTATGAGTGGGCGCTATCAGGCCAGCCCTGGAATCAAGAACAGCTTTCCACACGGGCACACCCTCTTCCCCTTCTATCCTGCTCTTGCCCATGAACTTGCAGAAGACCCCAAACCCGAATGCAGGGCTCTCTCTCTCTCTTTCTCTGTGTCTTTACTAACATCATCATGAAGACATCTTTTCCTACAGTAAATCTGACCCAAGCTCCACTCAACTGAGCTTTCTCTCTCTCCTCACTCATTTAGAAGAGAAAGCTGGGGACAAAAATGACATGGGAGAAGCCTTTTACGATTTATAAAGTCCTACAGGCAGCTTCTGTTGAGAGGAGGGAGCACACTAACATTATCTCTCTTGGCGAATGCTGATGACGCTTCAAACTCAAGACTCTACCAAGGCTACTCCGATCGCACTAGATCTCAGCTTCCGGCTGGCCCTCAGGGGGCGCATTGACAAGTTACAGGCAAGAGGCAGGCGAGGCGGAGGGCCAGGGATGCAATGGGAGAGTGGCAGCAGGCATGCCTGAGGAGATGCAGACAGCCAGGCTTAATTACAAATTTGAATGACAGTTTTGTGCAAGCTAGAGAGTTTTCCAGCCCCCGGAAGGGGATTCCCATCAACGCCTGGGCCAGGGCTCACTTCACCTTTTATGGAAATGCTAGAATCATTAGCACTTCCAGTCACATGGATCTAATGACCCAGTGTCCCGGGTCTGACTTTCTCACAAGCCACGGTGACCGGAAGAGGGAAGGCTCATTGTTCTAAGATTGCGAGTATCCCTCACCAAATGCATGCCATCAGCTTCAAGGCATGCTGGGTAGAGAGGATGGTACTGTGGAATCCTAGGCTTGCTGCCCTCCTCCGTGCCCACCCAGCTCTGCCTCTATACATCAACTACAACCACTGCCAACCACGACCAACAGCCGTAACCACACTTGTTTATGAAACACCAATGGTTTCTGGAATTCCTTTGACACCATCTTGAAAGGTTGCAGAATTCCCCCAATCTCACACAGCCACTATGTGCCAGGGCTAGAATTTGAATCCAGAGCTCCTCCTGACCCCACAGGTAGGAGATGCCAAATTCTCTCCCTACCACCTTCAGCTGCAAGTATGTCTAGTGTGGCCAGCGAGCCGAGGGTGTAAAAACCATGCCAGGGTGAGGTATTTGGGTCTGGCATATGCTCTCTCATTCTGCCCAGTCCAACCATTTCTAAAGTATCGTTCATCCTGCAGCCGTGCCCCTGAGTTACCTGCCTTGTCCCAGGTGCACCTGACCTTGTGCACCGCCCCCCCCCCCCCCCAACTATTCCTGTCTTCCTCCTCCACTGATGTGTCTCAAATATTAAGCATCAAGGGTCTTTGATGCTTTTGGAAAGATCATTCTGGAAATCAGTACATAAGATTGACCAGACCGGAAGCAGAAAGCCTAGGTTAGGGACAGCTATAGAAGTGTAGCTGAGGAAGGATGAGGGCCGGAACCCAGATCAGGGCATTGGAGGGGTGGGGGAGGGGAGAAGATGATTAGGACCTGGGCGGGGGGGGGGAATGAACGGAGAGGTAACCCGGAAGCCCCTTTGGTGGCCCCCGCTCTAGCGACCAAACATCTGCAGGAACACGGAGGCCAAGGACAGGTCAGGGGAGGGTACATACACGATGACGTGAGTAGGAAGAAAGGTCCAGAATCATCATTCCGGGGCAGGACCAAGACCCAGAGGAGGTGTTTCCTTGCCAGGAAGACATGAGTGGGCTTCCTTGCCGGGCTGTGAGGAGGAACCAGGTGCCCCACCGTGGGTACCTGCAGGCCTGAAGGGGTGGAGCCCACCAGGGAGCGCTCCTGTTCCTGGCTCACAAGGGCTCGGATGGCAACCCCAGCACAGGAGTGGCCTGTCCTTTGGAAGGCCCTGGAAACTCCCCCACTTCCTCACGTTGTCTACTTTGTAGTCGCCCCCCCCGCCCCACATCCCTCTCCCTGGAGGGTTAGAACCAAAGCCTTCCCAGGGAAGAGGGCCTGGAGCCCCAGGTGTGAGAAGCTGGTGTCCCCTCGGCAGCCCGGTGGGGCCGGAGGAAGCAAGGCCTGGGCGGCAGGGCTGGGGGTGGGCACATTTGGAGAAGGGAGCAGCTTCCTGGGTGTCCTGCTTGTTGTCCCCAGGGAGCTGACTCTGCACCCAGAGTTAGACCCGACGGGGCACTGGCTGCCTGCCTCCTTCCCGTGGGGAAGAGGAGCTTCCGAGAAACCCTGTCACCAGCCACCTCGGTACGGCCTGGCTCCATTCTCCCTCCTCTCCCTCAGCATCCCCAGATAAAGCACTTGCATATTTTCAGGCTGCGTCCTTAGCTCAGCTTACCTCCAGGACTCTTTCAGCGGTGTCTGATGTTAGGATGTCGACCCCAATCCTCCCTCCGCCAGGCAGAAGTATGTCCAGGAAGGCTGGCTTGGCAGTGATGTTAAACGTGTTCTGTAAGCCAAAGGAAACTAAAATAAATTTCCCCACCCAGCAGCCCCCGGGGCAGCAGGCGAACAATCAGTGGCCGCCCTCGTGGGTGCTCTGTGGGAACGCGGTCCCCAGGGACACAGCAGCTGAATGGGGGCAGGGTGGGGGAGGGGGTACAATAGGGGGGGCAGAGTGGGGGAGGGGGTATGATAGGGGGGCACGGCGCAGCAACAGCAGGAAGCTTCAACAGCTTGCAAATGCACAGTACAGCATTCGTCTTGGAGAAAAAAGCTTTCGGCCACATCATCCGCACTCTTGGTAGTCTCTGAATGAGTCCTCCCAGTTTTAAATATTTCTAAGCATCCTGAGAGGTCCCTATTACAGATTCTCTGTGATACTCTGTGCATGTGTGTGTGCTGGGGTTGGGTCAGGGTGAGGGCTGGGGGTGGGATGCTGGTTCAGCCGATCCTCCAATTCTTGGACCCCACATGGCTGTTCCAACAATTCAGTTCACTTCCGCCTCAATTAACCTGGAGTCAGCCCCAGACCCCACAAGTGAAAGGGCCCAGTTCCGCAAGACTGCCCCCATTGCAGCTGCCTGTTGCAAACGGGGTGCCTGGGCTACCCACCCTCCTTTCCAGCTGACTCCGAATTCAGGGGTTCCCAGGACTTCCTCTCAGATCCCAGAGTTTGTTAAAATGACACAAGCAACTCAGGAGAACTGTACTGACCATTGCTGATTTATTGTAATGGAAACAACTCAGGATAGTCTAAGAGCAAGAGACTCCTGGAGGGGCGGGGGTGGGCGTGGAAACTCCACGCCCTTGCTGTATGACCACCCTCCCAGCTCTTCCACGTGTTCAGCAACCCGACAGCTCCCCACACCCCACCAGCCCAGAATTGTTGTGGAGTTCCCATCTCTCGCTGTGTGCGAAAAACTGAACAGGCTACATTCCCTTTCCACACCTCACTCCCAGAATAAGGAAAATGGGCAGGGCCGGGGGCGTTTGGCAGTTAAGATGTTGCTTGGAACACCTGCAGCCGGTATCGCACACAGTGCCTGGTTGGAGCTCCGCTCTAGAGTCCAGCGTCCTGCTAATACGCACCCTGGGAGGCAGCAGGTGATGGCTCGGGTAGGTGGGTCCCTGTTACCCACAGAGGGAGACCTGGACTGAATTTCAGGCTCCTGTCTTTGGCTTGGCCCAGCCCCAGCTACTGCTGGCACTTGGGGAGCAAACCAGCAGATGGAAGCTCTTTGTCTCAAGTTAAAATAAGGATGAACAGTACTGGTCACAGACTCTCAAGGTGGCTTTATTGTTTTGTTAGCATTACCAGGGATGAGGAGGAAGTTCCGTATCTTCCAAGGGATTAGGAGTCAAGAAGCCTCAGGAAGGAATCCAGGCAGGGCCCGAGTGCTGCAGAACAGCCCTCATCTCACACCCTCTCCTGGGTGCATCACCTTTCCCAGACTCTAACCAGCACCACAGCCCCTCCAGCCCCCCGCATGGACGTCTGAGGGGGCCTCCCGGCTTCCATTCTCCTCCCCACACCAGAGCACTTTCCTAACAGCCGCAATAGCAACGCATTTTAAATGCAAACCTAAAGATGTTCCTCTCTTGCTTAAAACCCGCCAGGGTCCTTCCATTGCTCCTGGGAGATCCAACTCTTTGCCACTGGCTGGGGGTAAGTCAGCTGGCAACAGCCCCTGGCCTGGGATCCCAGCACTGAGGGTGGCGGCTTCACCAGCTACCACCACCACCCTGGTCCCTCCCTTGGCTTTTTATACTTGATTTGTTTGGATGACTGCTTAGAGAGTAAGTTCCTTCAGAGTAGGATGCTGGTGAGTTTATTTCCGACACTGCCCTGTACAAATAGACACTTGAATAATTTGATATGCCATAGTTTCTCCAAATAATCTACCTGATTGGAAAAAAAAAAAAAAAAACTAAGATAGTGGTTCCCAAAATGGAGCATTTACTAGTGGATTATTTCTATGCATAACCACCCTCTCCAGCCCGCCACTGCATACTTACCCTACCGATATTTCAGCAGAGAACATTAAAGTCTCCACTGGGCTAAGGTGACCTCCTTCATCCACACTGTAGGACGCAGAGGCTAAAGGGCCACGCTGTTCCTTGCCAATGGCCAGGGTGGGACACGGGGCCTCCCAGCTGCCCTCACTTCCTTCCTCCTCCTCTCCAGCACAACTAACAGGTTTCCTCACCCACTGGAAACCTGACTCACAATCTGTGTCAACCGGCTCCATTTTCCCCAAGTCACCAACCACACCTGCCTTCTTCCTCATCCCCACCCCCCACACCCCAACCTCACCTTCTGTAAATCACACAGAAGACACCGAGATGGGAACTTCCCTCCTACTCATGGCCCAACCTGGAAAGGTGCCTCTTGCCTTGCGCAATCTCTCTGTCTTACCTTCCACCTAAGAGGTGTCACTCCTCCACCTGAGCCCAGGTTGTGCCCCGCCCTCCTTCCTCAAGGTCAAGGTCACGGACTCACTGATTTTCAAGGCTTCTCTGGCACACTCCCAACCACCCCATTGCCCACCTCTCCTCCTCTGCAGCTCTTTCCCACCAGCAGCAAACATATCCTCCTGGTCTCCCTCAGCATCAGTAAAACGGAGACTCAGGGCGGATCGTCTCCCAAGGATCCGAGCTGCCTGACCACTGGGGGGAGTTCTGTTTTCCACACTGCTAGAGGTGTGGCAAGAGGCGGTGCCACAGTGAAGGGCAAGGAATGTGGTTTTTCTTTTACGTTGTACAATTTTAACTCTAGGAAAAGTAAAAAATAAAAGTTGTCCAAGAGAGTAAAGGTAATCATAGACAGAATTTGGCTGCACAGTAAAACATATTTGTGTGTTATGGGACAATGAAAACACAAAGGATCTAAAATCCTGGCTTAACAAAGCCGGGGGTACAGGTGTGGTGGAGGAGGTCATCAAAGGTGACACCTTCATCTTCACCCCCCCATAATGGTCCCTGGAGAATGTCTAAAAACGGAAGGATAAGAGACATTCATAGACACACTTCATTAACCTCCTGACCTCAAACATCTGAAGGTAAGCTACAACATGTGAAAGGCATTGCTTCTGGATTTAAAACTGCAGGGGAGGGGATGTGGTGTACTGACTAAGAAGCTTCCCTGGGAGTAGCCGTGATGCCACAAGTACCTGGGTCCCTGCCACCCATGTGGGAAACCCGGTCCCAGCTGTGGCAGGCATTTGGGGGAATGAAAAGCAGATGGAAGATCTCTCTCTCTCTCTCTCTGCCTTTCAAATAAACAATAATGAAACTATAAGCCCATTTTGCTTTGATTTTAAAAATTAAGCCATTTTATAGCAATATGGTAAAGTGGAGAAATAATGGCATCAAAATATATTTATATGATGAGGAGGGGGAGGGGGCCTTGTGGACAAGGGGTTCAGCTGCCAGTTGGAATGCCCACACCCTTTGCCCACACCCTGTACTGAGTCCTGGTTCAAGTCACGGTGGCTCAGCTTCCAACCCGACTTCCAGCTGATGCGCGTCCTAGGAGGCACTAGGATGGCCCAAGTGCTTGGGCCCCTGTCACCCCCCTGGGAGACCCAGCCAGAATGCTGGGCTCCTGGCTTTGGCCTGACTCAGCCCTGGCTGTTGCAGACCTTCGGGGAGTTGAACCTGTGGACAGAAGATCTCTGTGCCTCTCTCTCTCTCTCTCTCTATTGCTCTGCTTTGAAAAGAAATAACATTTTAAAAAAAGATATTGATAATGATGAACTAAAAGGAAGTATAAAACAAATCTTAAAAAAACATAAACTGGGAGTAGTGACCAAGGAAGAATTAGATTTTATTTGAATTTTGCTGGACTATTTTAATGTATTTATAGAACTAATAAAAATGCAAAAGCAATACAAAAACACAATTAGAGGAGGAAGTCAGCTTGGTGGAGTTGGATTGTGTACACACACACACACACACACACAATTGAAATAAGCCAGCATGCTGCTGCCAGGTACCTCAGGAATGAAAAACTAAGAATGCATCTATTCTTTTTTTGTTTTTTGACAGGCAGAGTGGACAGTGAGAGAGAGAGAGAGACAGAGAGAAAGGTCTTCCTTTGCTGTTGGTTCACCCTCCAATGGCCACCACGGCTGGTGCGCTGCGGCCGGTGCACTGCGCTGATCCGATGGCAGGAGCCAGGTGCTTTTCCTGGTCTCCCATGGGGTACAGGGCCCAAGTACTTGGGCCATCCTCCACTGCACTCCCTGGCCACAGCAGAGAGCTGGCCTGGAAGAGGGGCAACCGGGACAGAATCCGGTGCCCCGACCTGGACTAGGATTAGCCTAGTGAGCCGCGGCACTGGCCCGAATGCATCTATTTTTAAGAAACTTTGAAGCTGGGTCTGGCGTGGTGCTGCAGCTGGTTGAGCCCCTGACACCAGCATCCCATATGAGCGCAGGTTTCAGTCCCAGCTGTTCCACTTCCAATCCAGGTCCCTGCAAATGCACCTGGGAAGGCAGCAGGAGATGGCCCAGGTGCTTGGGTCTCTGCCACCCACATGGGAGACCTGGGTGGAGTTCCTGGCTCCTAGATTCATCCAGCCCTGGTTGGTGTAACCATTTGGGGAATGAACCAGCAAAGATATCTCTCTCTCTCTCTCTCTCTCTCTCTAACTGCCTTTCAAGTAAATAAATCTTAAACAGAAAAAAGAAGCTTCGAAATCGTCCAGCACCGTGGGCTTCCTTTAAAACATATGCTAAAAAATGACTCCTTTCAGATCAAGAGGAAGAAGAGGAGATATGGCTGACTTTCCCAAGGATGTGAGTGTGTCCTGTGGTTAGTCTGCCCCGCCCGGAGGGAGGTGTGCGCACCAAGCTCCACACATCTCCCGCACACTCACTCATGGGCCCTGATCACTTCCACACGGGGCACGGGAGACAGTCTGCAGAGCACATGAGGCCAACTCCCCAAGTAGGGCTCTGTCTCCGGAGCAGCGTTAGCCCAAGCCAACACTCAAGGCACGTTTGTGGAATGTGTCAACAATCAAGGTCGGGAGAAGGCAGATTGAGGCACACACAGGACAACCTTCCTGATTTAAACAGAACCTCCTGGGGCCGGCACTGTGGTGTAGGGGGTAAAGCAGCCACCTACAGTGTCAGCATCCCATATAAGAGCCAGTTCAAGACCCGGCTGCTCCACTTCCAATCCAGCTCTCTGCTATGGCCTGGGAAAGCAGTAGAAGATGGCCCAAGTCCTTGGGCCCCTGCACCCACGTGGGAGACCAAGAAGAAGCTCCTGGTTTCTGGCTTCCAATTGGTGCAGCTCCAGCCATTGCAGCCAGTTGGGGAGTGAACCAGTGGATGGAAGACCTCTCTCTCTCTCTCTCTCTCTCTGTAACTCTGACTTTCAAATAAATAAATAAATCTTTCAAAAAATGAATCTTAAAAACAAAACAAAACAAAACAGAGTGCTGGGCTTTAGCATAGGATGTGGAAGAAAACACTCAGAAACAGAAGGTAAGATCCAGAACCACAGCAGACAAAAGGAAGTGGCTCAAGCCCCGCCTCTCCCCGGCATGACGTGTCAGCCAACAGCTAGCCTGGAAAGAACACTCTCTCAGATTCAGTGACAACCTGGGAAGAACCGGCAGGAGGGCTGTGCCAACACCCTCGGAGAGGGGAAGAAGGAAACCTAACACAGAAAACGCACACCTGAAGAATTATGCCCCGAAGCAGAAAATGATGGATATGCTAATACAGACATGGCTGCTCTGAACAAAGACCTCAAAGAACTGACAAAAGTCTTAAGAAAGAGGTAAGAGAACAAAAGACTATAAAAGGGAACTCGCAAAGTTCATGGGAATAAAAAAAAAAAAAACAGACGTTACAAAAATGGAAGCAGCAGTATTGTACAAGACTTTTGGATAAAATTACAAAAGCAAAAACACTCACAGAACTAATACCAGGTAAAAGCTTTTCAAGTTATCAGAAAAGAAAAATATTCACAAAGTTCTAAAACACTGATCCCCCATGAATGATTGCTAAAAAGCATTGACAGGGCCCAATGTTGTGGCATAACAATGGGCATCTTAATCTGAGCGCCGGCTGGAGTCCTGGCTGTTCTGCTCCCAATCCAGCTCTCTGCTAATGGGTCTGCGACGGCAGGTCTTGGGCCCCAGCCACCCACGTGGGAGACACAGACAGAATACCAGGCGCCTGGCTTTGACATGGCTCCAGCCCCAGCCATTGCAGCCATCTGGGGAGTGAACCAACAGATGGTAGACATCTCTCTGTCTCTCCCTCTTCTCTGTCTGTTACTTTATCTTTCAAATAAATAAATCTTAAACAAAAAACAGGGTCAGTGATGTGGTGTGGTGGATTACGTTGCCATCTGCAGTGCCAGCATCCCATCTGGGTGCCAGTTGGAGTCCTGGCTGCTTCACTGCCGATCCAGCTCTCTGCTATGGCCTGGGAAATCTGTGGAAGATGGCCCAAGTCCTTAGGTTCCTGCAGCCACACAGGGGAACCTGGAAGAAGCTCCAGGCTCCTGGCTTCGGATTGGCCTAGCCTCAGCCATTAGGGGAGTGAACCAGCAGATGGAAGTTCGATCAATCAATCTCTCTTTCTCTCTAACTCTGCCTTTCTTTCAAAAAAAATAAATAAATCTTTAAAAAAAAGTTTTGTGCCCAAATAAACTTAGTTTTCCATTTCATTTCAACAACCCTTTTGATACACTCTTGTATTTTAAACCATCAAGTGCACCATTTCTTAAAGTGGAGTGGGCCAGTAAATATGTGTGCACCGTGAACCCCTGCCTCACCGAAATGTGCTCCAGTGTCTACACGTCGGGCCGAGGTATTCCTGCTCCCCTTGCTGCGATCCAGCTCAACACTGTCATGTTACTGCAAAGCCTCGTCTTTGTCAGAGCTCAAACTCAAACATGCAGGCATAAAAACGTCTCCCTTTAGGCAATCAGAATGAGTGATGTGCTAAATAGATGGAGAGGGCAAAGCTTCAGGCCCTAGATGGCAAGTGGCCATGGTTCTTTCGATGGACCAAGGAGAGGGAGTTCCCCAAGGTTCCATTGTAGCCACTGAATTTTCTCCATGCCTCAGCTACAAGAAAGCCCAGGGCAGGCCACACACCCACTTCATGCTCAAAGCCGCCCTTCTTTTTCTGCATTCCAAGGCTGTTTTCCCCTTGGTCGGTTTTGAGATGAATGATTCTGAGGCCACAAAAGAAGGTGTCTATTTAATAAAATCTACCAGAGGTAGATTGATGATCCATCTAGATCCTAAACTTGCAGGAGAACAAAATCGAAACCGCTCTCCAAGTCATTCGAAGCAAATACATTCCACCCGAGTCCAGGCTCTGTGGGCCAGCCAAGCAGAAGCACACACGTGCACACACGTGTCCACACGGTTAACACAGCCCCACGTTCAGCACAGAGATAACAGCCCAAGAACAGAAGAGCAAGCTTACCAGCTGTACCAGCTTCAAGAAATCAATGAAGACTTCACTTTTCAACACGTTCGGGTCCGCAGTTACTGGAAAACACGAACCGCGAGATGGGTTAGCCTGGGCTGGGCTGAGCCAGGTGTGTTAATCATTCTGTCCACCACGGTACGTTGCTGCTGCCCGGTGGTCCCCACTGAAGGTGAAGGAGATTGTGACCTCCCAAACACGGGAAGACCCACAAAGCCTGCCCCCTGCAGGCAGCCCTAACAACAACAAGAACCGCTCCTACCAAGCCGGGGTGATGGTGCTTGTGAGAATCTCACTCCATCCACGCACACCCACACTTCTCTGCCCAGAGGCTGGTGAAGTTAATATGAAAAATGAAAAAGCAAAATGATCTCTTTTTTTTTTGTAGGTTTATTTCAAAAACAAAAAAAACAAACAAAAAAAAAAGGCTGAGCCATAGGCAGAGAGAAAGAGAATTTGCAATTACTGGTTCACTCCTCAAATGCCTGTAGTGCCCAGGGCTGGACCAGGCCAAAGCCAGGAACCAGGAAGCTTGCATTAGCAGGAAGTTGGATGGGAAGTAGAGCAGCTGGGACTAGAACCAGGCATTCTGACATGAGATGTGGGCACATCTCAAGGGGCAGCTTAGCTGGCTGTGCCCCTAAAACATCAGCCCAGACGTGAGTCTAGATCCCAAGCTTAGCCAGACACTTGGCAACTTGGAAAGTTTCAAATCAACCAAGAAGCATTGAGAGCACCTCTTTGAATAATGGGAGTTCTCAAGAGGTTACCAAAAAAGGCACGCATGGCAGTCGGAAAGACTTAAAGAGGTTTACCTGCCCACATTCAGAGAAATATTTCCCCCTTACCTTTGTTCTTAAAGATTTATTTATTATTTGGAAGGCAGAGTTACAGAGAGGCAGAGGCAGAGAGAGCGAAAGAAAGAGAGGTCCTCCATCCGCTGGTTCACTCTTCAAATGGAAGCAACTGCCAGCACTGGGCCAGGTCGAAGCCAGGAGCTTCTTCCGGGTCTCCCACGTGGGTGCAGGGGCCCAAGCACTTGGGTCATCTGCCACTGCTTTCCCAGGCCGCAGCAGAGAGCTGGATCAGAAGTGGAGCAGCCAGGACTTGAATTGGTGCCCACATGGGATGCCGGCACTGCAGGCAGTGGCTTTACCCAATACGCCACAGCGCCGGACTCTCTCCATTACTTTTAAAACTCCAATACCGGATGGCGTTGTGGCACAGAAAGGTAAGCCTCCATCTGTGACACCAGCATCCCCTGTATCAGAGTGCTGGTTCAAGCTTCCGATCCAGCTCCTGGCTAACGCACCCGGGAAAGCAGTGGAGGATATACCAAGTGCTTGGGCCCTGCCACCCACCATGGGAGACTGAATGGAGCTTCAGGCTCCTGGCTTTGGCCTGGCCTAGCCCTGGGCTCTTGTAGCCTTTTGGGGAGTGAACCAGTAGACAGAAGATCTCCCTCTCGCTTTCCATCCCCTGCTCCTCTCTCCAATGCTCTGCCTTTTAAATAAAGAAATTTTAAAAGCAAAACAAGGGGCCAGAGCTGTGGCATAGTAGGTCAAGCCCAGCATCCCATATGGGCGCCAGTTCGCGTCCTGGCTGCTCCAACAGAGCTCCCTGTTACTGTGCCTGGGAAAGCAGCAGAAGATGGCAAAAGTACTTGTGCGTTTGTACCTGTGTGGCAGACCCAGAAGAAGCTTCTGGCTCCTGGCTTCAGCCTGGCCCAGCCTTGGCTGTTGCTTCCATCTGAGGAGTAACCAGCAGATGCAAGACCTCTCTTTCTGTCTCTCCCTCTCTCTGTAACTGTGTCCCTCAAATAAACAAATCTTAAAAAATAAATAAATAAAACAAAACACCAGTAACCAGTGCCAGTGGCCAGAGCAGCTCAGGTATGAGCTGGCCACCCATTCCTCCTCGTCTGATCTTCCCCCGGACCCCGCACGGGAGCTGAGCTGACTTGCGATCGCTGTGAAATTTCTCTCTCTTTTTGCTGCTGCTTTACTGCTGTTCTCTAACGATTTCTACCAACATTCAAACTTGGCATGTACTGACCAGGCGATGCGTGCGGGGGGTGGGAGGGTCCATTCCCAAACAACACCACTGTATAAAAGGCCAGCCCTCTTTTTTGAGGGGTACTTTCAAGGGGCAAAAGCCTCCAGCCTCTAGCTGCTAGAACAAGCGCTCCTCTAATGCAAGTTCACCAGTGTGACTATGGTGCACCAGGCCCTGGGCTAAGCACTTCCTGTCTTTCAGCTCATTTAATCTCCATGACAAACCCTGAAGGAAATATTATCTCCAAGGCTGGCGCTGCAGCTCAGCAGGCTAATCCTCCACCTAGCGGCGCCGGCACACCAGGTTCTAGTCCCGGTCGGGGCGCTGGATTCTGTCCCGGTTGCCCCTCTTCCAGGCCAGTTCTCTGCTGTGGCCCGGGAGTGCAGCAGAGGATGGCCCAAGTCTTTGGGCCCTGCACCCCATGGGAGACCAGGAGAAGCACCTAGCTCCTGCCTTTGGATCAGCGCGGTGTGCCGGCTGCAGCGCGCCAGCCGCGGTGGCCATTGGAGGGTGAACCAACGGCAAAGGAAGACCTTTCTCTCTGTCTCTCTCTCTTTCTCACTGTCCACTCTGCCTGTCAAAAAAAAAAAAAGAAAGAAAAAGAAATATTATCTCTAATTTACAAATAAAGAATTGAGGCTCAGAGGAGGTAAGCATATTGCCCAAGGTCACACAGCCAGAGAAGAGTAAGAGTGGGTTTGGGCTCTGGATCGGTGCCAGGGCCAGAGCTCTTAGCCAGGCCCTTAAGCTGCATGGTGACCTTCCTTGGCCTTGACCCTAATGACATGAAGGAAGACCAGGCCTGGAACAGCAATCCCTCAGACACTGCACAAAGGCCATTTGTACAAAGGCCAAGTGTTAAAGGAATATTTGACTAAGATGCGGGCAGACAAACCACATCAAATGGTTCTTGTGGTGCAGTGGGTTATGCCACCACCTGTGATGCTGGCACTGCACACGAGCACTGGTTCCAGTCCCATCTGCCCCACTTCCGATCCAGCTCCCCGCTAACGCACGTGTGCTGGGAGACAGCAGGTGATGAGCCAAGGACTTAGGTCCCTGCCACCCACGTGGGAAACCCAGATAGCTGTTGGGGCCATCTGGGGAGTGAACCAGCAGATGGAAGATCTCTGTCTGCCTGTCTCTCCCTGCCTTTCAAATAAAATGAAAAAAAGAAAAAAACAAAAATAATAAAGCCTCTATGCCTCATATTTCCTAAGACCTTTCCTATAAACCATTTCTCTCATCCCTGTGCTTTTTAAAAAAAAAAAAAAAGTTTATTTCTTTGTGTATTTATTTATCTGGGAGGCAGAGTGACAGGGAGAGGGAGATGGAGAGAGACTTTCCGTCCATTGTGGGCCAAATGCCCACAGCAGCTAGGACGGGTGCAGCTGAAGCCAGAAGCCAGGAACTCCATCAGGGTCTCCCACTTGTGTGGCAGGGACAAGTACTTGAGCCATCGTCCGCCACCTCCCAGCAAGCTGGGTCAGAAGCAGAGGTGGGACTTGATCTTGCAGCTCGACCTGCTGCACCACAGTGCCTGTCCTCCTGCATTCAGTCTTGATCCAGGTAATACTTCTTTGTTTTCAAAGCCAACATACAGCACCTGACAATGAATCTGAATAGTTTAAAACCAGATACAAAGAACACCTATCGTACGATTACCTACCTATGAAATATCCAGACTAGGCAATTCTATAGAGAGAGAAATTAGAGCAGCGGGGCCAGTGTTTTGTGGTACAGCAAGTTAGGCTGCCACTTGTCAGGCGGTCCCAGTCCCAGCTGCTCTGCTTCCGATCCAGCTCCCTGCTAATGGGCCTGGGAGGCAGCGAAAGATGACCCAAGTGCTTGGGCCCCTGCACCCATGTGGGAGACCTGGATGCAGTTCCTGGCTCCTGGCTTCATCCTGGCCCAGACCACACTGTTTAGATAATTTACGGAATGAGCCAGCGAATGGAAGATATCTCTGTCTCTGCCTTTCAAATAAATGAGTAAATAAATTTAAAAAACAAAGGAATCAGAGTAGTGCTCACCGGGGCTGGGTGGGGGAGGAAACAGGGTGTGACCCCCACTAATGAGTACTGGGTTTCTTTTTGGAATGATGACAACGACCTAAAATCAGACTAAGGTGAGGATTGCACAAGTATATAAATACATTAAAAACTATATGACCATATGTTTCAAATGGGTGAATTTTATGGTGCTTACCTTATATCAATAAATCTATTTAAAATGCAAATACATACCATTTTGCAAATATTGTTCCAGCTGCTCTCTCCTCTCATTGGCCATAGATACAGTCATGGCCAGATAGTGCTTCGGGGGGAAGGGTGGCAGCCAGTTCCCAAAGACTCGCTGGAGCTGGAAGACCCAGAGAACACCCAGTGAAAGCGAGCAAGTGCCCCTCCTAGCACTTCACTTAAAAGGAATCCTCCCAGGGAGCCAAAAGGACAAGGAGAGGATAATCTTATTTTCTTAGGGAGAAATTTATTCCAGTACATGTCCTAGAGGGGCTATCAGACGTATCACAGACAGACAACTCCCAGGTCTACGTTTGGTTGAGTTGGGGTATGTCTTTATTTTTCATTTGTTTTACAAGACAACTTCCCACTCACATCACACAATATTTCTTTTCACAATAATTCATTCTGCAACAGTGTCTTGGATGTCACTGATGATAACTGGGAATTCTACCCTTCCACCCCACCGCCACCAAAGCGGAACGTCACAGCAAATACTCACCAGCTGTACTAGTTGCCTGTGGCCAGTGAGCCCTGAACTGCGGCTCACGTCAGTCTCTCTGGATTTCAGGGAGTTAGTGCAAAGGAGAGGGAATGTGAAATAGCTCACTATAATAGTTATATAAACTAGATTTAAAAAAAGCTTAGTAAAATTAATTCTACCTATGTATTTTTACCCTTTTAATGTGACTTCTAGAAAGTTAAGATTACGTATGCTGTCCACATTTTATTTCTGCTGGCCAGTGCTGGCTGCAGAATCCCCACAAGGCTGATGCATGATCCCAGTAGAAAGCCACACAGGCGCTTCCTCCCAGCCCCTCCACGTGCCCCAAGACCACCGTGACAGCCGTTTTTATGGACACCAAATGCTGAGTGCATAGAAAACAAATCTAAAATGAAGAATCAAAGTGTGTCTGCATCACTCCAGCCCAAGCCTGAAGGTGAGAAGGGAAACCACCCAGAACCCCAGCCGGATTTCAACACAGCGCCCAGGGAGCAGGGCGGGGTGGAGGGGCTCAAAGCTTACCATGGCCATAGTCAGTTGTTTTCAGAAAAATGAAAGCTGGTCCAAGAGAAATGAGGCTACCATCAGACAAGAATTTTAGCTCTGTGGCCTTTGTCACAAATACAGTATATATTTGTCATGTGTTTACCTTGCATGGATCCCAACTTCCAAATCTGGGGGAAATTGATTTCTCTACCACCATACTGGCCCAAGGCGAGGTCATCTCTTTCCCAGACTATGGTAGTAGCCTTCTAAGGCAGCTCTCAGCTCCTGACCTTGGCCCTTTCTGGTCTATTCCTAACCCAGCATGTGAGGTGACACGGGGAACATGTAAGCCATGTCATCCCACTGCCCTGCCCCAAATGCCCAGGGCTTCCCGTCTCACTCGAGTAAAGCCAACATCCTCACCACGACCATCAGGTATGCTGGCCACTAGCCACCTAGGAGCACCTTTAAATTAAAAGCTTAAAACTCACTTCCTTGGCTCTATGCATCGTATTTCAAGTGCTCAGCAGCCATGTGAAATATAGCAGGTTGCTACTGGATGGGGCAAGGCAGATACTGAGATTTCCCATCAGCACAGAAAGTTCCACGGGACGGTGTTGATGTAGCATCTAAAAAAGTAATGCATTTTGTTTGGTGGTTGTTTGATTGATTTTTAGAGCATTTGAAGGCAATATTTATTTTTATCATTTAAAAAATTTAAATCCTATGTCCTGGAGGGAATCCTGTGGCTCTAAAAGACACTTTGGAAATTCCTTACAAAGCTAAACAGAGCCTTACTCTATAATCCAGCAATCCTACTTCTAAGTATTTGCCCAACTGATCTGAAAACTATGTCCCTACAGACACCTGCATTGAATGTTTACAGTGGTTTTATTCATAATCCTCAAAACTGGAAGCGACAAAATGCCCCTTAACATGTGAATGGATAAAGAAATGGATATATCCACCCAATGAAATATTATTCAGCAATAAAAAAGAGCTGTCAAACCACAAAAAGATATGAATGAATCGTAAATGCATAGTACTGAGTGAAAGAAGAAAATTGGAAAAGCTACACAGCATATGATTTCAATCATAAGACATGCTGGAAAAGAATAGGGGTGGTGAAGAAACCCACAGCCCCCAAGGGTTTGAGGTAGAAGAGTCCTTCAGAGGGGAATCACGTGGAATTTGTTCAGGCAATAAAACTATTCTCTAGGATACTATACAGAATTGTAGCTTCCACATGACCATATGCATTTGTCAAAACCTACTGAACTTTACAACACAAGCTTAACATGTGCAGATATTTTTTAAAAATCATTTGGTGCCCATCAACAGTAGACTGGATAAAGAAATTATGGGACATGTACTCTATCGAATACTATACAGCAGTCAAAAACAACGAAACCCGGTCATTTGCAACAAGATGGAGGAATTTGGAAAACATCATGCTGAGTGAATTAAGCCAGTCCCAAAGGGACAAATATCATATGTTCTCCCTGATCGGTGACAACTAACTGAGCACCAAAAAGGAAACCTGTTAAAATGAAATGGACACTATGAGAAACAGTGACTTGATCAGCTCTTGTCCTGACGGTTGATGTACAATGTAATACTTTATCCATTTTAGTATTTTTTTTGTTCTAGTACTATTGGTTGAACTCTGTAATTAACACACAATTATTCTTAGGTGTTTAAATTTTAACTGAAAAGTGATCCCTGTTAGGAATTTGGAAAACATTATGCTGAGTGAAATAAGCCAATCCCAAAGGGACAAATACCATATGTTCTCCCTGATCGGTGACAACTAACTGAGCACCAAAAAGGAAACCTGTTAAAGTGAAATGAACACTATGAGAAATGGTGACTTGATCAGCCCTCACCCTGACTGTTGATGAGCAATTTAATATGTTATCCCTCTTAGTATTTTTTGTTTGTTTGTTCTACTTACTACTTTTGGTTGAATACTGTAATCAATACACAATTATTCTTAAGTGCTGAAACTGAACTGAAAAGTGATCGCTGTTAAATATAAGAGTGGGAATAAGAGGGGGAAGAGATGTGCAATTCGGGACATGCTCAAGCTGACTTACCTCAAACAGTAGAGTTAGAAACATACCAGGGGATTCGAATTCAATCCCATCGAGGTGGCATGTACCAATGCCATCTCACTAGTCCCAGTGATCAATTTCTGTTCACAATTGATCATAATGATAGGACTAAGAACCAAAGGGATCACATAAACAAGAATAGTGTCTGCAAATACTAGCTGATAGAATCAAAAAGGGAGAGAATGATCCCACATGGGAAGTGAGATACACAGCAGACCCATAGAATGGCAGATGTCCTAAACAGCACTCTGGCCTCAGAATCAGCCCTTAAGGCATGCGGATCTGGCTGAAAAGCCCACGAGAGTATTTCAGGCATGGAAAGCCAAGACACTCTGGGGGGGGGGGGGACCTAAATGAAAGATCTCCGCTAGTGAGATCCCAGTGGAAAGAACGGATCATCAAAGAAGGAGGTACCTTTCTCTGAAGGGAGGAGAGAACTTCCACTTTGACCATGGCCTTGTCTAAATATGATCAGAGTCGGTGAACTCAGGGGGCTTCCATAGCCTTGGTAGCTCATGACAAGGGTGATTACTGAGGCCATAAACAAGAGTGTCAATTTGTTAAGTCAACAACAGGAGTCACTGTGCACTTATTCCTCATGTAGGATCTCTGTCCTTAGTGTGCTGTACATTGTGATTTAATGCTATAACTAGTACTCAAACAGTATTTTTCACTTTATGTTTCTGTGTGGGAGCAAACTGTTGAAATCTTTACTTAATGTATGCTAAACTGATCTTCTGTATATAAAGAGAATCGAAAATGAATCTTGATGTGAATGGAAGGGGAGAGGGAGTGGGAAAAGGGAGGGTTGCAGGTGGGAGGGACGTTATGTGGGGGAAGCCATTGTAATCCATAAGCTGTACTTTGGAAATTTATATTCATTAAATAAAAGTTAAAAAAACAAGCAAATGAAATACTAGTTTAACAAATGTAAAAAATAAATAAATAAATAAAAAATCATTTGGGAGGTCGGAGGAATCCCAGGAGAGAATGCAGAACGGGACCTTCTCTATTACAAGTGTACAGAACAATCCCACTGAAAGGAGTAAAGGGAAGAGGTGCTGACCTCTTTTTTTTTTTTTTTCCTGTACACATTCACATCTTTACTGCTTCCTTCATGGCAGAAACGCAGAGGCCCCTGGCTGGCGTCCTTGCATTGGTCAACACGCAAAGAAGCCGCCCAGATGTGAGCACCGTGCTCCAGCTGACGAAGGTGTTCCTCAAGGGAGGATGGCTTCACAGTTCCAGCAGAGCCAGGTGTACAGCATCAAACAATTAAGAAAGTAAATGGGGGCCAGCGCCATGGCGCAGGTTAATCCTCCACCTGCAGTGCCGGCATCCCATATGGGCGCCAGTTCTAGTCCCGACTGCTCCTCTTCCAATCCAGCTCTCTGCTATGGCCTGGGAAAGCAATAGAAGACAGCCCAAGTGCTTGGGCCCCTGTACCCATGTGGGAGACCAGGAAGAAGCACCTGGCTCCTGGCTTCGGATCGGTACAACCCCGGCTGTTATGGCCATCTAGGTAGTGAACCAATGGAAGGAAGATCTTTCTCTCTGTCTCTTCCTCTCACTGTCTGTAACTCTACCTCTCAAATAAATAAATAAATAAAATCTTAGAAAAGAAAAATAACATGAATGATGAGACCAGCATTGTGGTGCAGAAGGTTTAACCGCCACCTGCAAAGCCAGCATCCTATATCACAGCAAGCATAGTAGTTTGAGTCCCAGCTGCTCTGCTTCTGATCCAGCTCCCCGCTGAGGCACCTAGGAAAGCAATGGAAGATGGTCCAAGTGCCTGGGCCTTAGCCACCCACATGGGAGACCTCGATGGAGTTCTTGACTCTTGGCTTCAGCCTGGTCAAATCCTGGCTGTTGGGGCCACTGGGGAAGCAGATGAAAAATCTCCTTCTATCTGTCTCTCCCTCTCTCTGTAACTCTGCCTTTCAAATAAATAAATAAATCTTAAAAAAAAAAAAAAAGAAGAAATGGCAGATAGCATGAGTCAGGTTTCTTAAGGTTGTAGCGAGAATTCAGAGAAGAGGAGGCCAAAATACCCATGTGATGATGCATTCCAGTTGGATATATTGGCAGTAACTCATGTTCCACTTTAATGTACAGACAGCTAAATATAAAACTATCTTAGCTATGTCTATATACACGGTTCAGTTTACATCCCTTGCTTGAGAAGTCTTCAAAGAGCTCACAGAAAATGAAATTAAGAATTAGTTTGTACTGATGCAAAAAAGCTTGAAATCCATGCATACAGAAGATCTTCAAAACACTCATGGAAAATGAGTAGTAGGAAAAAACTGCATGCACCTCAGAAATCTTTACACCAAAATAAACTTATCTTTCAATTGCATTTTCCCCTGTACTGGTTCCATCAGCTGTGAAGGTCTAGAAGCAGTTACACTGCTGGAGCAATGAACACACACAGTGCCCAGATCTTGGTGTCTAACACCATTCTCTGAAAAGCAGCTGGGATCTAGGGAGACATGGCCACTCTGATGACTGAAACAGGAAAGATACAAGATGGGGAGATGGGGGGAGAAGGTGGTGGTGGCAGCATTGTGATGCAGATTAAGCCACAGCTTGCAATGCCAGCATCCCATATTGGAGAGCCCATTCGAGTTCCAGCTGCTTCACTTCTGATCCAGCTTCCTGCTAATGTGCCTGGGAAGGCCCTGGAAGATGGCCCAAGTGCTTAGACCCCTGCCACCCAAATGGGAGACCAGGATGGGATTCCTGGCTCCTGCCTTGGGCCTGGCCTGTATCTGGCTCCTGTGATCATTTGGGGAATGAAGCAGTGGTTGGTAGGTAGATCGGTCAATCGACTGATCTCTCTCTGCCACCCTGCCTGTTGTCTTTCTTATTTGAATAAATAGATCTTAAAAAAAAAAAAAGGTACCAGATGATCCTGGAGTCCCAGAAAGTAAAGAAGTATTCAAAACAAAAGCCTTAACAATGGGAGAATGTCAGAGACACAGGAGCAAACTTCAAGTGTTCCAGTGGGTCACAGCTGGAATCATTTGTTCAAGAAAATATAGCAGTATAGTTATATTTTATAGCTGTAGCATAATCCAAAGTATAAAATAATATGCATAAGTCTACTAGACATGGTGTTGAATAAAGAAACAGGAGTGACTGGACGCTCTGTGCAGAATCTCAGATCATCTATGTACTCGTTCCTCAAGGAGGGGGAACACCAATCCCCACTCTAAGTGTGTGCTGTCTCAGGGACTTCTCTCCAAAGAATATGCCACGGACAGGGAAAGGAGTAGCCTGACAAACACTACCTGAGGCAGGTGACCGAGGTCCACCCCAGTCATGCTCACGGCAGGTGCTCTCGATATGATGTGACGAGAATGCTGCTTTACCTCTGGGGTCCTTATCCCCCAAACCCATCACCCCGTTGAATCACGAGAAAAAAAAACAAGATAACAAAGCCCAGTAAGTGGACATTGGACAAAACATCTGCCCAGCATGCCTCGAAACTGTCAAGGTCATTCAAAGCAAGGAAAGGTCAGAGAAACTCCAGAGGAGCCTGGGAGACATGAGGACCAAATGTGATGTGATTTCCTGGTTAGGATCCTGAGCCAGAGATGGGACGTTGTGTGAACGCTAAGGTGCTAAGGAAGTCTCAATAAGTTATGGACCACAGTTAATAATGTATCACTAGCGCTTCATTAACTGTAATGAATCTGCCACACTGTTAGAAAAGGTTAATGGAGGAGACTGAATGCGGAATATTTGAGAACTTTCTCGGCTATCTTCTCTGTAAACCAGGAGTGAGGAACCATTTTTCTGCAGGAGACCATTTGGATATTTATAACATCATTTGCGGGCCATACAAAATCATCCACTTAAAAATTAGCCTACTGTGGGTCAGCGCCGTGGCGTAGCAGGTGGAGCCGCCACCTGCAGTGCCTGTATCCCATGTGGGCGCCGGTTCAAGTACCGGCTGCTCCACTTCTGACTCAGCTCTCTGCTGTGGCCTGGGAAGGCACTGGGGGATGGCCCGAGTCCTTGTGTCCCTGCACCCTCGCGGGAGACCCAGAAAAATCTCCTTGCTCCAGGCTTTGGATCAGCCCAGCTCCGGCCGTCGCAGCTATTTGGGGAGTGAACCAGGGGATGGAAGACCTCTCTCCCTCTGCCTCTGCCTTTCAAATAAATAAATAAATAAATCTTTTAAAATAAATAAATTAATTAACCTGTATTTTTATCAAATTTCCAGTCCCATCCCACCTGCCTTAGCAGGGCAAGACCGAATGATTTTGTGGGCTTTCTATAGCCCATGGGCCAGATGTTCCCTATCCCTGATGTCAACTAAAACCATTCCCCTAAATAAATTTCATTAAAAACAAACTGATGTCCCGCTCTTCTCTTAAAACACTGGAAAATCTGTACTCACTGGGCCCCCGCTGTCTAGGCAACTTTGTGTTAGTGGAGACATAACAGCTCCTGTCACCTCCTGCCACCTCTCAACTGACCCTCATCTCATCAAAATTACTCGCCTGACCCTGTAGCCAGCGAAACCTAGCACAGAACAGCACAGCAACAATGGTTTCTTTGAGGCGCAGGAAAGTTCCCTGCCATGCGGGCTACTGTCACAGGCAATCCCATGGGTGCATCACCCAAGGCGAAAGCTCAAACACCCTGGCTTTATGCTAATTCTGTTAAACACAGCAGAAATCTGTCTTCTTTGCAGGAAATTATTTCTTGGTTAACTGAGTAAATGATCTTTAAAAAGCATCTTCGCAGATGTTCCCAAAGTGGTTCTAATCATAGCAGCCTTAAGACAGGTTCTCTTCACTTGTCCACACAGCCCCGTGGACAAGCAGGTTGTCGCGAGGGGGCGGGGCTGGTGAGGACTGCGTTCAGATGCTGCTGTTTTAATTCCAGGACAACCTCTCGCACTGACTTCCCCGCCATGCATTTCTGGCCTTTCCAGTGGCGAGAAGCAGAGGAGTCAGTTGGAAATGTCACCCCCCCCCCACCTCCTCTGCCACACTCACAGGCCTCCACACCTGTCCCTCAGTGGGGACAACCTGGAGCGAGCGGAATTATGACGCAGGTCCTTTCCGCAGTCTTGGGGTCTAATGTCCACGCATTCATCCCGGCTCTCCAGGTCCCCTGGTAAACATCAGATCCCTAGATAAAGGGCCATGGCTCAAAGCAACCAGGAGGGAACACTGGCCTGGACTTTGTCTGTTTTCCTACTTCTTCCGCAGAACAGCTCTGTGAGGGAGATGTGTGATCACCACAATAGGGAGGGAGGAAGGAGTCTATTCGGGAGAAAGAGCGGGGTGAAGTTGATTTGCAAACTCGCATGTACTCCTGAACTCTTCTTGAAGATTGATAACACCTCCTTACAAGAACAATGACCCCACTACCCAGAGCAGTACATCAGGCTCCTCTCAGGGACAGCAGGCTGAGAAGCCAGAGTGGGAAGTGGCTTCCGCACTCAGCCATGTGCTTCCCGGGTTCCTAGTTGGCCGGGACTTGAAGTGCTTGTATCGCCCTTTGAAAACGACAAAAGGAAGGCACACCCTTGCAAAAGGGGTAAGCGTAGGAAACGCAGACTAACCCAGGGACGGGAGTCCTAACTTGAAGCCACGCCTTGCTCTAGAAGCTTTGTTCATTTTGAAGGGGCACGTGGTCCCGAGCCAGAGCCCGCGCTGCCACGGAGCCCACCCACCGCAGAGCTAGCTCCCTACCAGGTGGGCTGCCGAGGGAATGGGAGCAGCACCTGCACGCCACGCCCTCACCTCACCTCAGCTGTGCGTTCCTGGAGCCGCTGGCCCAGCAACTCACCACCTCCTTTCGCAGGTAAGGAGACCCGGGCCGGGGAAGGGTCCCCCACCTCTCCCCGCCGGTCTCCGCTCCAACCGCTCACCTGCTCGTTCCAACGATGCAGCTGGCTGTAGCGCACCCTGCAGAAGAGGAACCCGTCCAGGTACACGGAGTACAGCTGCAAACACACACCCGACCCGATCCCCAGTGAGCCGAGCGTGCAGGCGAGCGCGGCCCCCGGCCCCCTCCCCGCCCGGCCGCACCCCGCCCGGCCGCACCACGTAGCGGCCCCCCAGCGCGTCGGGCCGCTGCTGGGACACCGGGATGCAGAAGTGCATCTTCATGGCTGGCGGGCCCGGAGCGGCGCGGGGAGCAGGACCTGCTGCTGCGGCGCGGCCCGCGGCTCTGAGGCTGCTCACAGACCCGCGCCCGCTCGCCTCGGACCTGGGCGTTCGCAGGTGAGGCGGGCACAGGGCCGCACCGCCCCTTCGTCCCCGCCCCCCGCAGCAGCTGGGTGCGTGGTCCCAGGACAGGTGCGGGCGGAGCGTGTCCGGGTGACCGCCCACCTCCCCGCGCGTCCAGCGTCCGCAGCCACCCGGCGCGGAGCAGGCGCCCAAGTGTCGGCGGAGCCTGGGGCGCAACAGGACAGAGACCCCACCCCCACCCCGAGAGCGCCAGGGTCTCCCTCTGGGTCCTTGGACTCCTGAGGTCCTTGAGGGTGGCGGTGGGGTATGTGGGGACGGATGTCGAATTCTTCGGGGGAGAAAGTCCAAGGTTTTTATCAGATTTTCAGAGTTCCTCAAACCCAGGAAAGTCCGCTTCGGCAGCGCACCTGTCCTGAGCACCGGCCTTACCTGGGCGTGGCCAGCCGTGCCCCACCCCCACCGCAGCGCCCGGCCAGAGGGCGACTTGTTCTCTGGGGGCGCAACCAGCCGGGGCACCCATTACCTGCCAACACCAGTGCACCATGAATTCGGATTTAGAAATAAATAAATGAGTGAGTGAGTGAGTGAATAAATAAATAAATAAATAAGGTATCTTAAGATTAGCACACTTGTATTAGGCTCAACTGTTTGTGTTAAACTTTGTTGACTGTAACACTTAAAGTCTGCCCCAGTAGGTAACCCCACTTCCGCTTATTTAAGCTTTTTTCCCTTAACAGATCAGAAACCTCAAAAAACTGGAAGTGGCTGTGACCTGAACCCTGAAAAGCAAGCTCTGGTCTCAATTAGGTCAGCTGGGTTTGCACACACACTTTGTCCTCTGGCCTACCCACCTCAGCTTCTTTCTCCACAGGCTCTCATTTCTAGTTGCTGTGGAAAATAATCCTCCAAATACTTGCTTCAGCTAAATCCACACCGATTTTGTTCCACCTTGCCGTGGCGGCTGGGAGCTGGGGTGGGGTGGGGGGCAGTGTCACCTATCATCTATTTGTTTCTTCCGCCTCTCCTTTAATTGGCACCTGAGTTTTCCAGGTAGACATTGGATCAATGTCCTACCGATGGCAAGACAGGCCCAGGGGGTAGAGTCACTTTTCCAAGGTCACAGCAAGTGCTTCTGCATGCCTGAGTGGTTTTCTGCGTCACGGAAGTGGCCCTGCCATGGGGCGATGCCATGGGGCGATGGTTAAGCTGCCACTGGGCTGCCTGCTTCCCGTATTGTAGTGCCTGTCTGAGTCCTGACTCTGCTTCTGATTCCAGCTTCCTGCTAATGTGCATGCATCCTGGGAGTGATGGCTCAGGGGTTCCTGCCCCCCCAGGCGGGAGACCCAGAGGGAGTTCCAGACTGGCGTGGCCTTGGCTGTTGTGAGCATGTGGGCAGTGAACCAGTGGACTGATCGCTCTCCACCCACCCCCACCCTCTGCCTTTCAAATACAGAAAAATGAGTAATTAAGTGTTTGAAGTGTAAAATGCCCTCCGACCCTGGGGTAACAGGCATCTGAGACAGAGGAGGAAAGAGGAGCAGGACTTGCTGAACACCCGTGTTTCCTGCGTGCTCCTGGGACCAGGCTCTGGCTTGCAATATGCCACTGAACTCGCACTGCCACCTGTGAGTGAGGAGCCCTTGACAGCTCTGGTTTTATAGGCAAGGCAATTATTGGGCCACTGGAAATATCAAAGGATATATCTCTCGTCTTGTAGAGACACCAACTAATAAGCTATTTGGATTATATTAAAGGTGCTGTCAAGATGTGAAGTGAGGCTAAATTTTAAGTTAGGGTAATGTAAAATGCTACTGATACAAATGTCCAGAAGTTGCAAAAGTCCAATGATCTTGTTGTGTTGTTATCAGACAAGATGGTTATCTTAATGAGAAAGGCCCAGAGGCCTAAAAGGGACAAATGTTCTGTAGAATCTTACAGGTGCTTTCAAAAATACTGTGTGGAGTAAGCAAGTAACTCTTCTTGGTTGATGAGTTTATAATTTTAACTATGGCTATTTAAAGTGTTTTGTCATCCATAGTTTTATATTCTCTGAACACAAAAACATCAGACTAACTGCTCATGGAAGTTAAAAAGTTGTTGGTTCTGTGTTTAAATGTGTCCTCTAGGGCCCAGCACTGTGGCATAGTGGGTAAAGCCGTCACCTGCTGTGCCAGCATCCCATATTGGCACCGGTTCGAGACCCGGCTGCTCCACTTCCCATCCACCTCTCTGCTATGGCCTGGGAAAGCAGTGGAAGATGGCCCAAGTGCTTGGGCCCCTGCACCCACGTGGGGAGACCCAGAAGAAGCTCCTGGCTCCTGGCTTTGAATTGGCTCAGCTCCAGCCACTGCAGCCGTTGCCATCTGGGGGGTGAACCAGCAGGTGGAAGAACTCTCTCTCTGCCTCTGCCTCTCTGTAAAAGTGTCCTCTTTTATTTTGGGTTACAAAGGACTTTTACCCCTGACCCCTATTGTATTCAGTGCTTTGGGACAGTTCTTTTAGCAGATAAAGCCAATAATGGTCTATAGGTTCCAACTGAGAAAAAGTATGGTTAATTCAGGCTGCTAAGAAGAGGAAGTAATTCTAATTGACTGATGGTAATTTTTTAAAAAAGAGTTAAATATTTTAAGAAGCTATTACTGCAACTGCTTTATTGTTCTATGTTGTATGTTATACTTGTGTACAGATTGTATGTCTACATGGGAAAATTATTAAGAGCTCTGTTTTAATTGGCTTATAGATAAAATATTGCTCATAAATTTAAACTGCCCAAAATACCTTTTTGGTTCACATTACCTGAATCAATCTATGTATCAGATGTTTTAAATTTGTTGGTAGAAAGAAACTAAAAATGTTTAAGTCATTGATATGTTTGTGCTGGAGTTTGCTGGTCGAACAAATTACACTTGTGTTAGATATTTAAGAGATGTTTGCAAATACATGTACTCTTGTCCTGAAATTTATAGAAGGTTTTGGATCTTTTGGTAAATATTTTTATACGTTGTTATTTAAAATTTAAAATTGTTTGCTAAGTTTTCGCTTGATATTGAGTTACTAAGAGGAAGCGGGCTGGCACTGCAGCTCACTAGGCTAATCCTCCGCCTGCGGCGCCAACAACCCGGGTTCTAGTCCCAGTTGGGGCGCCGGTTCTGTCCCGGTTGCTCCTCTTCCAGGCCAGCTCTCTGCTGTGGCCCGGGAGTGCAGTGGAGGATGGCCCAAGTCCTTGGGCCCTGCACCCCATGGGAGACCAGGAGAAGCACCTGGCTCCTGGCTTCGGATCAGCGCAATGCACCGGCCGAAATGCGCCAGCCCTTGCGGCCACTTTGGGGGTGAACCAACGGAAAAAGGAAGACCTTTCTCTCTGTCTCTCGCTCTTTCGCTGTCTAACTCTGCCTGTCAAAATAAAAATAAAAGAGGACGCGATCTGGGAAGCCTGGCCTGCTCCCTCATTGCTCCTCTATTCTCCTCAGAGACGGGGAACCTGACCCTACTCTGAAGGGCTCTGCAGTGGGACACGCAGTGTGAGCTTTAGACCTGATAAAAGGAATGGCGAACATTTTTCTATAAGAAGAGCCTGGCCACACAGAAGACCAAATAGCATAGCCAAAATCCGAGCTCAAGTGATGATTTCACAGCTAGATTTACATTGCCAGGAGCACAGTAAGCAAGCAAACTACCCCCCTTTTCAAACCAAACTAAGGGAGAGAGAAAAGGTTTTACCAATAACTTCAAAATGTATAGACAGTTTGCAAAAGGTGGTCATCATGTTTGATCTTAAAGTGAGGACATAGCTTTCCTCTTGGGCGCTGTCCACTATCAGAGCATGCCTGTGACTGCAGATTGCTAGCTCAGGCCACCAAAGATTAGGGATGGACTGAGCACTCCCTTGGCCAACATTAAAGACTGCCTCTGTGGTCTACTTTACCAGAAACCAGGACGAAGTGGAGCACGCTAGGCAGCAGGATCAATGAAAGGATAGGTGGCAGGCCAATTAATGATAGCTTTACGCAGTGGTCTGCCATCAACGAGACCCAACAGGCCAGTCTGCCCCAAATGGCATTGGTTTTTGATGTGGAAAGCCAGGGCTTCAGATGGACACCGAAGTCCACTTTTGGAGAGTCCTGGCAGCTCTGCCAGCCAAGAGCTGGGTCACTGGAAACAGAACTTCCCTGGAGTCGAAGGACTCCCAGGTCAGAGCTGCAGGTCCTGTTGGCTCTAACCTGAGAAAGCCTTTCACTCTGCCCAGCTTCCAAAGTAACCAGAACTACGGAGGGGACGGCCAAGCAGGGTCAGTAACACTGCAGGCAGAACTGTAAGTTTCCTTTTAGAGATGCCACCTGCCTTCTGTTCAGGCCAGCTCTCCTCCCAGGTCAGCTAGGTAATGGAAGTCAACAGGTGCCCTCCCTCCCTTGTGAGGCCTCTTCCAGTACCTGGTGTGAGGAGATAGATAGGTCTGAGTCTCACACCTGGCCAGGCCTTAAAGCTCACTGATTATTATCAAGCCCCTCTTGTCAGTTTCTATTTGCCTCTCAATGGGAAAACTTTCTCATGGCTTGGACAGCATCTTCTTTCGGTTCTCTGACAGTGACTCTGTCCCTGTATTTAATCTGCTTGTTAGATCCGTTTTCTCCAGACCTGAAACAGTGAAGTTCTAGATGGCCTGCACACGACACCTTGGATGGAAGCCGTTTCTGCAAGCTGGCCCTGCGCCCCCTCGAGAGCCCACCTCCTGCTGGATCCTTCTTGATTGGCTTTCCCTACTCCGCCCATACTCAGCCTGAAGAAGCTGGAGCGGTCACTGTTGCGTACCCCTCCCAGAAGTCAGGTGTCGCTCCCCCTCTTCGTGGAGGAACGACACAGGACCCTGTGCTGTTCTTTTGTCTGCTCGGCCCTCCCCGGGTTTGCTGCTGGTTCTTCCCGGGTTGGCTACCGACCCTTCCACCTCCGTGGAAGGGCGGTGCCCCCTGCCACTTTCCCCACTTCCGCGGGGGAGCGGCACACCGCCGGCCGGCTCTCTCGGGGGCTGCACAGGTGTTCCTTCAGATAGATGTTCCTGGTGCATGTTGTCTCTCTCCTCCTTTATAGTCCTCTTCCACCAATCCCAACTCTGCTACCCACACGCCGAGCACGCTGCTCTCCTCCAATCAGGAGCAGGATCAGCTCCTGCAGTTTGTCAAGTTGGTGAGAGGCAGCTGCGTAGAAGTTTATTCCTCCCCAGTGCCATATTGTGGGAGAGCAGATGCATAGAATAAGTCTTAATTCCAGTAACTTAGCCTAGTCTCAGTTGCTCTCCACAGTCAGGGTTCATTATTCTGGAGGAGCAGTCAGATGGGTTAATAGGCAGTCAGGTTGGTACCAGTGGGAATTGTGGGTGCAAAATCCTTGCTTCCCCC